TGCACAAAACCAAAGAATCGTCAAGCTTTTATCCGCGTAAGAAAAGCAAGGATTGATTAGCGGATTTTTCATGAGCGACTCAGGCTTCCTTATTACTTTCTGCCGATTGCTTATTCCGGTTATTAGTATTGCTTTCTGGGGTCTTGGTCTAATTATTCATCTATCTCCATGCTAATCTTTTCTGAACATCGACTTATATTAAGTATAATAAGCTCCATTAAAGTTAAAATACTGGTCTTTGGACAAACAGATAGATATAGACTTTATAGTTATAGATCTTGATAGAGAGTTATAGATAGTTATAGTTATAGATATAGTTAGTTATATTATAGTTATAGTTATAGTTATAGATAGTTATAGATTTTGTTTGATCTATTGCTCAACTTTGATCAAAGTAATGCTCCTAATCATTTCCTTTAAATTACAATCTAAACATGATAATCAACTTAAATTGAAAGAAATTAATAAACTAGTAGATAATAAAAGACCTTTTTTTTTACATTCGAGACAAAACCTCTTTATTTCTCTGTTTCTATAACGTCTGCTCTCTTCTCTGACTTTAGATAAAAGTCATCTATTACGAGACTTAAACTGTATCTAAAATAACGTAAATTACTATAAAATACACAGTATAATCACCTAATTAACATAAGGAATTAGAATCGGCCATGGATTTCCAAGGATCTAAGAGAACAACAAAAGTAATACAAAAAAAAAAGTATTCGTTCCCTATGATTGACAACAAGATAAGCACTTTCTAAGTTCAATGAGCAAGAAGAAGAAGAAGAAAAAAGTCGTGTTGAAATCTAGATTTTTTTTTCCTTAAAAATGTCGTCTACCCGTAAATGTAGTTCCCGTGACGTCACCATGGAAATGTAAGTGTCATACCGTGCCAGACGCTGCCTCGTCTCAGGAGGAACACGACGCGCATCACACTCACATGCGTTGTGCATGTACGCAGACACACAGGTATACATACACCACATATACATGCATATACACATACGCATGCGTATACGCAAAGCGACGCACTCACTTACTCGGACGCACGCGCGCGCGCGCGCACACACACACACACACACACACACACACACACACACACACACACACACACACACACACACACACACACACACACACACACACACACACACACACACAAAATGTATAAAAGTATAATTTGTGTTTGCATGTGTGTGCGCGTGCATGTGTGCGTGTTGTGTGTGTGTCTCGCATTATTCAGTCTTACTATTACCCATTACTGCTATTACCACTGATACAAATGTAATAATTGCGATAATTTGTGTATAATAATAATAAACAAAACGAATTAAAGAATGAAGATAATAATGATAACGCATGTTGCAATAAAATTAGTAGCAGTAATTCAGAAATGTTACTATTAATGTGATGGCGACAATGAAAACGATAATGATAATAATGAGAATTATAATGATAATCACAATGATGATGTTCAAATGCTAATGATGGTGATGATAATAGTAATGATGACGATGATGATGATAAAAGTGCCTACTGACGGGCCATTTCACTAGAACTGATTTATATCTTTTTGGGCCCCTAAGATGTAGTTGTTTCCATATGCTGAACTAAAGATTTCCTTGTTCTGTCTGCTCAATATCTGCTACAGATAAGGCAGAAAATGACAGAAAATTGAGTATATTCGAACCTTTTTGTTATATTGATGAATTTTGAAAGCTGTTTCAGCTGAAAATGAGGATCATCATTTATATCCTCCTTTAAGTTATCTTCATGTCTCTATAGCCATTTTATAGTCTTGAAATTTTTATACTGGATTTTTGTCTTGGGAAGTAATATCTTGAACCATAATTTGTTGATTCTGCTTTTAAATATGTTGAAGAGTTTACAGAGATCATCCTAATTTGGCAATATGATTTAACAATAAACAAGATGAGATAACAAGGTGATATTCATATACCTCAAGTGTAAAACGTAACGTACAGTCCCCTGGGTAATTTACTCTTTCAAATATATGGAGGCATTCCGGAAACCCCCTTTAGTAGAACAGGGATCCCAGATAATGGTTAAAGTCCATGTATTATGTTTTTAGCGTAGTGATTACCGAGGCCTAAATGAAGACAACAATCTCCAATATATGGTGTGTCTTTACAGTAGAAAAGTCTTCTGTCTTAATGATTTATGTGACACCTTTAGCTAATTCTTAGATGGTGACCTCTGGAAAGATTTTGGAAGTTTGGTGTGAGTTTATGTGGAGCGAACCTGAACTATCGTCATCATGAAAGCAGTTCTACTAAAATAGTAACAACTGAGATATAGTGAAATAGAAACAAGGTGATAATATTGACGATGATTACATTACTGATTAAGAATATAAATCAAAGGCACTACCTTTTGTGACGATGCATTTTTTTCATTGATGATATATTCAACATTGTGTTTATTGTTATTATTTTGTAACCAAAGATGATCAGTATCAGTATGGTGATAAAAGAATGGT